CTACATCTGATCCGTACCCTTCTGCTCAGGGCTGGTATAGGGTCTAACCCAGGGCCAGAAATTTACACCTGCTGCGTATGCCAGAGACGACTGCATACAAACTCCACCTCGGTCAGGTGCAATGCCTGTGACGGGTGGAGTCACCTCCGTAACTGCTCATGCCTACGTACGCACCGGCAATGGACCACGTCGTTCGTGGCCCCATGCTGTGCGAACCGGACCGCCTCCACGACAAACCACCACCCGCCCGAGCAGCACACAATCAACACACCCACACCCCCACCCAGCACAACAATAGGCACACAAACAAACACAATAGCACCCACACACCGCCGCCGGCAACTACTAGTCCCTCCTACAATCTGCTGTTTGTCAGTCCAGAATATACCGTAACGTGACATCAGTCAAGTGCAACTCCTGCCTCGGCTGGTGCCACTTTAGGGCATGCTCAGGACTTCGCAACACGCGAGATTGGACGAGTGACTATGTGGGCCCCTGCTGTGCTGCCCAGTCGCATCCCTCCCCCGCGACGCCGCCAATCACCACCACAAGGCAGCACCCCCTTTTGCAGCACGTACAGCAGGGAGCCTGCAGGCAACACAACTCTTTAACACCACACACCACAAGCGGTCTCCCAAGGCACACAAAGGTGCTACAATTTAACTGTAACGGACTCCAGAGCAAGATCGAGGAGATAACTGGCTTTATGGGAAGGCATGGAATATTAATAGCTGAGGTCCAAGAGACGAAGTTGCACGGCACTCAAGCCTGTTAAATGATCGTAGGGCAATACATCTGGCTGAGCAGATAGAGGCTGACTTCAAAAACGTATCAATACAATGCTTGTGGAAACTGTTATACTGCGGGGGTTTATTAAACAACCTCTGGACCCGTCAACCTACCGACAGGCCCTGAACGGCATTCACAGGGAATCAGTCTCGAGTTATGTAGACTCCCGCCCTGTGAATCCGTTCTAGGCACACAACCACCGGACGTGGACGGGACAGAACTTTGTCTGCCTCGGGAGATCCGCACTACAATAGTCCAACTTCGCTCTGGCTATTGCAGCAGGCTAAACTCTTACCTGAGCAGAATCAATGAGGATGTGCCCAACCAATGCCCGGCATGTGGAGAGTCGCCACATGACTCCCGGCACCTCTTCACATGCCCTGAGAACCCCACTCAGCTGACGCCCCTGTCCCTATGGGCAGACCCCGTTTTAGTCGCACATTTCCTGGGCCTCCCCCTAGCTGAAATGGACGACAACTTTGACAGCTGAACCGACCCGAGCGGGGCTTAGTAGCCGCTACAACAACAACTACTATCCTTTGTTTGCTGGTTTCCCCGGTTTAAACAGTGGAACTACTCTGTCCATTTTCCAAATGTCTGGAATGATGAGAGTGGCCATCGACAGGTTGAGGACCTTGGTTTAATAATCTACTCCCGCAGGACCCAAATTTTCAAGCACATGCTTAAAAATTCCATCGTGTCCAATGGCTTTGGACGCTTTCGCCTTCCCGATGGCCACCCTGTTTGTTTACTGGTTTCCCCCATTTAAACAGTGGAACAACTCTCCCCATTTTCCAAATGTCTGGAATGATGAGAGTGGCCATCGACAGGTTGAGGATCTTGGTTTAATAATCTACTCCCGCAGAACCCAAATTTTCCAGCATACGCTTGAAAATTCCATCGTGTCCAATGGCTTTGGACGCTTTCGCCTTCCCGATGGCCACCCTCACTTCGCCTTCGGTAAAAACAAGGGGTGCACTAGGTGCTGTCAGTTTGTACAGTCACTCGACGCTTGGCTTTGTCCGCCGGAGGATACAGTGTAAATTGTCGGCTAAAATAGCTCGCGCATCGCTCCGGATCCGCGAGTCGTGGTCGACGAAAGAGATTTCGACTCTGTCGTCACGATTCGTCGGATTGGACAGTGACCTCACAGTTGACCAAAGCTTGCTCACACCAGAGGCACTAGTGGCCGATTCTCCGCGTTGAGATCCCTGATACGGGGATTTCTGGGATCGGCCTGACGAAGGTTGTCACGCTCATCGGCTATGACAGCCGCTTCAGCTGGAAACTGGTAATCGACGACCCTAAAAAATAGTCATTTCCGTGGGCTACGTGCACACATTAAAGGAACGCATCACAATTACTCGATAATACTTCAACAGCACGAAACTCTACAGCCTTACACCCCTATTGCGAATGTCGACTGGCAGTAGATAAACGACTATTAAGCGATTATCGATTATCGATGCTATTACGAGTGTCGCTTAGTCGCTCAATTAGCGACTGTGAATACTTTTTAATCGCTCATCCTTCTATTGCTGGTTTTTAGTCGTTGGAGTTTGCGTTTATAAAATTTACATAAGAAAGTGGTACTATAATGGATAAAAAGTAAGTCAATTGAACTGGAAGTTGCAAAAAGTTGTGAAATATACATATGCATGTATGTGTCTGAATTACAGATCAAAAATTATAAGCAACAAAAGGCATCTTGCGCGGTTGGTCGTGCTGATGCAGGAGAATGAAGACATAGGCAAAGGAATTTCCGGAAAGAGTAGGGTAGGAAGCTCCGCTTCTATTGGAAAAGATACATATACAATATTACTTGTGCATATAACTCCGGCTACGCCATCCACAGTGTTTTTGCGCAGAACCAACATCAAAAGTTTATACAACAAGTAAGAAAGTCTAAGTTCGGGCGGAGCCGAACATTAAATACCCGGCGCAAGTATTAAATATATGTTTTCCTCCTTTCCGAAAGCTACCGCTACATGATAAGCCGGGGTGTATACATTTTAAGTAAATTAGCGTCCTTAAATTTCGAAATATTGAAATTTCAAGCATTTCTGAAATTTACCGTTATATGAAAAGCGGCCTCAATTTTAGTCCGATTTCAACAATTTTCA